GTAAAGCGAGTCGAGTCCTCTCAGTTACTGTGTGTTTATCTAAAGATAAATACGCTAAAATTCACCTTTGTCCCTGCCATGCGCCGACGGCTTAGGGGTAGAATCTCCGACTAACACCAATACAGCCGGATTTCAATCCTAGTTAGATGCAACCGCACGTCTAGCCACACTGAAGAGCTGTGATACAGCGAAACTGTCTGACTGTGGATGAAAATATATATGTATGTATATATGTTTCTGTAGTGGTGGGACGTTTTTTTTTTAATTTCAAAAACATAGCCATGTCCATGTTCATAGTTGATTTTACTGATTGTTGTTTTTTCCTTTTTTCCTTTATGTTATTTTTATTTTCATTTTATTTTTTCACACGTGTATTAAGCACTTTTAACACTACTGTTTCCTGATCTGATTCAACTCTATTAACTTTTTATGTATTATATATGTATATAATTTCCTCCACTACAAATCAATCTATTGCGTGTATCTGCATTTATCCTTTTATTCATTTGATATTTGTATACCTTAGATTTCTTCCTTTTTTCTTTTTCCTTTTATTTTTTTTATCTTTCTTTCGTTTTTCTATCTTTCTTTATTTACTTCTTTTTTCTTTCTTTGTTTCTTTGTTTCCTTTGTTCTTTCTTTTCTTCTTTCCTTTATTCTTTCTTTCTTTCTTTCTTTCTTTCTTCTTCTACTGTCAGCTCTTATTCTTTTCTTCTTTTCTCACTGTTATATTCCATTTTAATGTATGTGATTTATTATTTATCTAACTTTCTTTTTCCTTTACTTCTTCCTTTCTCCACCTTCCTTCTTTCCTTCCTTTTCTATTCTGCCTCCGTATCCCCGCCATCACTTAGAGACCCACTCAAGTCCCAGAAATCTGGAGTCTATATCCCCAGACGGATGTAAGCGATCTCTTAAGAATACCAATTACCAGTCTCCCTCGCCGGCTCCTTTGACGTGCACCGGAATAATAAAATTTTCATCTTTCTTACTCAAAATACAAGGTCCAAGTGGAAAAAGGAACTGAAAACCTTTTCCCGTCGTGTGGATTAAACCCGGAGAGTGAAAAGACAGAATAAAACACGGGCAAAATAGAAAATGTTCATAATTGTTTGTCTTCGACTACAATAAGAGGAAAAAGATATCAGGTTGGTCTTTCTCAAGGTCTAACCCATGATGGGTGTGTATATGTGTGTGTGTATATGTGTGTGTGTATGTGTGTGTGTATCTGTGTATGTGTGTGTCTGTGTATGTGTGTGTGTGTGTGAGTGCAATGGCTTAAATACTTAGAAGAATGGAGATTAAAAAAAACAATATGGCGGCTCCCCTTGTACTTTCTTTATACAGCCAAAGTGGAGGTGTAAACGGAGGAAAGGAGAAAGAGAGGAATGAAAAAAAAAATAGATAAGTAGACGAAACAGAAAGAACAGAATGTGGGGAGGAAAAGAAAGATCGAAAGAAAAGAAAATAAAGGAACAGAAAAGTCATTCAATAAAGAAGAAAGTAAATGAAAATGAAAACGAGGCGAAAGAATGAGGAAAGAAAGACTTGAAGATTAGAAGAGTTAAAGGAAAAAAATAGGAGACGGCGAAATGAACGTTGTGGAAGAAAGAGAAATCGGCGAAGAAGAAGAAGAAAAGAAGAAGAAGAAGAAGAAGAAGAAGAAGAAGAAGAAGAAGAAGAAGAAGAAGAAGAAGAAGAGCTGAGGAGGATAAAGAAAGATAAGAAAAGGGGTGGAAAGAAGAAGATGACGACGCTTTTAAACTGGAGGAAAAGGAAATATGTAAAATATTTAAAAATGAGGTCAGAGAAAGAGAAGAAGAGATAACGAAGCGGGACGAAGCAGATAAAAAAAGGATGAAGACCAAAAATGAAGAAAAGAGGAGAAAGAAAGAAAGAAAAAGAAAGAAAGAAGAAAAGCAAGGAAGAAAGAAAAAAAAGAAAAAGAAAATATCGAATAAAAGAAAAGAACAGAGACTTATGGGAAAAGAATAATAAAGAAAAGAAAGGTTTGAGAAGAAAACAGAAGATAGATAGATAGATAGATAGAGAGAGAGATCGTTTGACAGAGAGTGGGAGAGAGAGAGAGAGAGAGGGAAAAAGAATATAAATAATGCAAATTCAAACATCGAATTTAAATTTAAAAGGGTTAAAAAGTATCCATAAAAAAGTAATAATAATAATAATAATAATAAAAATTTGATATTAATATTAATAATAATTACCAAGCAAACTCTAAAAGTATATAATATAGATTCTATGATAAATATCTAGTAACAATTGACCACCTTGTATCAGGTTTAACGGTATTAGCATTCACAGAATATTAAAAACTCGACATGAGACAGTGGGTCAATATCTGCAGTTGAAAATCGCCAACTTTATGGGAAGGAAACTGTAAGAAATTAATATGAACATCAACTAGACCCGGTTACGGAGATAGGACCTGTAACAATTTTATGGGAGTTTACAATACACATAAACAGAACAATCAAAGCTAATCGCCCAGGCATCGTTATGAAGACCACAAGAACGGAATGTGTTTTCTTATTGACATGGAAGTCCCGGCAGATTGTAAGATTTTTCAAAAAAAAAAAAAAATAAATAAATAAAACTATCAAAATACAAAGATCTTGAAGTGGGAATCTAAAATATGTGGCACATGAGGACATCAATAATTTCAGTTGTAGTTGGAGTCCTCGGATTGATTGGAAAAGATTCTCATCGACATATTGAAGGGATTCTTGGTAAGCCCATGCCTTAAAGAAATACAAGAATTGTACTCACAAGTACAGCTCATACATTACGAAGAGTTTTATATATGTAAAATGTGTGTGATCATAGTTTTTTTTTTACAATAACGATCAGTGCAAAATGTCATAAAGCCATTTCTGACCTTAAGCCTCTGGTTGGGACACGGAAGGAAATGTGTATACAACAGAAATCCAAGAAAATAATAATAATAATAATAAATATATAATAATAATAATAATAAATAATAAAAATAAATAATAATAATAATAATAATAATAAATAATAATAATAAATAAATAATAATAATAAATAATAATAATAAATAATAAATAATAATAATAATAATAATAATAAAATAAATAGATAATAATATAAATAATAATAAGAAGAAACAATAAGAAATAAATAATAATAATAAATAATAATAATAAATAATAATAATAATAAATAATAATAATAAATAATAAATAAATAATAATAATAATAATAATAAAATAAATAGATAATAATATAAATAATAATAAGAAGAAAACAATAAGAAATAAATAATAATAATAAATAATAATGGATAAAAAGAAAGAATAATAATAAATAATAATAAATAATACTAATAAATAATAAAAATAAATAGTAATAATAAATAATAATAATAATAATAATGATAAAATGATAAAAATAATAATAATAATAATAATAATAATAATAATAATAAATTTTTAAGCTTGGCTGTCAATAAAAGATTGACTTCTGATCTGAATAAATTTGATGTGTCTCGTTAGTTATGGCGGGTCCATCAGATAAAAATAATTTTGTTAAATAATCTGATAAAATAAATAAATATAAGGTTTTTGGAACTAAAATTGAAAAGACCGTTCATCAAAAATAGCACATTAAAACAACTGTTAAAATAATAATAATAATAATAATAATAATAATAATAATAATAATGATAAATTTCTTAAGCTTGGCTGTCGTGACTTCTGATCTGAATAAATTTGATGTGTCTCGTAGTTATGGCGGGTCCATCAGATAAAAATAATTTTGTTAAATAATCTGATAAAATAAATAAATATAAGGTTTTTGGAACTAAAATTGAAAAGAAAAATAGCACATTAAAACAACTGTTAAAATAATAATAATAATAATAATAATAATAATAATAATAATAATAATTGAACCCCTGAATAAAATGAAGAAAGGTATTGATAAGGGCATTAACGAGATCCCCGGCAGACTCTGTTTACAAGCGATTAATAATAATCATTGCACTGTGTAGGATTTCTCATTTTCTCAAGAGAGTATTATCAGCATAAAGAATAATATAAACAGTCGATACTTTAAGTACCACTTGACATCAAAATTCGTGTAAACAGAATTTTACTACATTGCTTTACCCAAATAAAGGATTGTATTAAACAGAAACATATAACACCTACAATAGATCAACTACAAACTATATATATCTACAAAATAAACATTTACCCTGAAAATATAAAATTATGTACAAAATATCTGTAGTTGAAGCCATAAACTTGCGTAAAAATATTCAGAGTTCGGCATTAAATAATTCATAGAAGTTGATATGCAGCTAAACAAAAAACAACCAAACCTAACCTATATTAAATAGAATGCAAATGAAGACTAATTTAATAATAATAATAATAAAAGCTTCTCACTTGCTACAGCATGCATCATCCCAAAGATAATGTTGATCGTCTGTATGTGCCCAGATCCGAAGGAGGCAGAGGATTAGTTCAACTAGAACTATCTTACAAAACTACAACTATTGTTCTTCAAAGATACCTGGAAACTACAGAAGACTGGATGATGATATGTGTCAAAGAACATGAAAACAGTAAGCGAATTGATTTCGTAATAAAGGAAGCCAACAAGTTGAAAATGGAGTTTCAAATGGGTTTAGAAATACAAGTAGAGCACAATACACGATGGCAAGATAAAAACTGCTTCACGGTCAATAACCTGCCCGTACCAAACAAGATGATGTAGACAAACCCCGTAGCCATCAGTGTCTACGTAATGCAGGGTTAAAAGCTGCAACCGAAGGTTTTATCCTTGCTGCACAGGATCAATATTTGCTAACAAGAAATTATCAAGCACGCATGCTGAAAAATTGTGTTAGCCCAAAATGCAGATTCTGTAACATATACAGAAACAATTAACCATCTTGTATCACTATTGGCACCCACTGAATATAAAACCCGGCATGACAGAGTGGACCAATATCTGCACTGGAAAATCTGCAACTTGTACGGAAAGATAACTGAAAAAAATTGGTATGAATACCACACAGACCCGAACCCGGTTACGGAGATAGGGCCTGTTACAATTTTATAGGACTTAACAATACACGCAGGCAGAATAATCAAAGCTAATCACCCAGACCTCTTGATTAGAGACCGCAGCCACAAAAAGTGATTCCTTATTGATATGGCAGTCCCCGCTGACTGCAGTGTAACTTTGAAGTTTTTCAAAAAGATATGAAAATACAAGGACTTTGAAATCGAAATCTCAAAATTGTGGCACATGAGAACATCGACAATTTCATTTCTAGTTGGAGCCCTCGGATTGGTTGGAAATGATTCCAATAGACTCATTGAACGGATACCTGGTAGCCCATGCCTTAAAGAAACACAAAAAAATATTCTCATGAGTACATCGCTCAACCTTATGAAGGTCTTCATCTATGTAAAATATGTGTGATTTTTTTTTTTATATTGCTCAGTGGAAAATGTCATGATGCCATTTTTTACCTTAGATCTGTGGTTGGGACCCGGAAAGAAACACCAGAAATCAAAGGAATAATAATAATAATAATAATAATAATAAAACTGCAAGAGACTGGTATGAACATCATTCACAACTGATTATAGAAATAGGAAGTGTAACAATTCTATGGGACTTTACAATACACACACACAAAAAAAAAAAAACAAAAAACAATCAAGCCTAATCTCCCAGAGATCGTAATCAAACACCACAAAAATAGAATGTGCTTTCTTGTTAACATGTCAGTCCGTGCAGAATGTAATGTATCTTTGAAGATCTTCAAAAAAACTATCAAAATACAAGGATCTTGAAATGGAAATCTCAAAAATGTGTCACATGAGAACATCAATAATTCCAGTTGTAGTTGGAGCCCTCAGATTGATTGGAAAAGATTCCAATAGACCCAATGATTCCTGGTAGCCCACGCCTTAAAGAAATACAAAAAAAAAAATGTACTCACAATTACACCTCACACATTACGAAGAACTTTCTCTATGTAAAATGTGTGTGATCTCATTTTTTTACAAAAATGATCAGTGTAAAATGTCATGGAGCCATTTTTGACCTGACAGAAATCCAAGGAAATAATATATATATATATATATATTTATATATATATATATATATATATATATGTGTGTGTGTGTGTGTGTGTGTGTGTGTGTGTATGCAGAAATATTGTTTTAAAGTGTGCTATATATATATATATATATATATATATATATGGGATAACGCGCTCAATATCAGAGATAGAGCGTATTTAAATATAAATATAAAAGTAGACATTGAAGTCAACACTCAGAGGCGACAGGCTGTTTCATGCTGGACGCAATTGTCCAAGAAAAGTCCAACACTCGCGGCCTGACGATTGCGCCTAGCATAAAACAGCCTGTCGCCTCTGAGTGTTGACTTCAATGTCTACTTTTATATTTATATTTATATATATCTATATGTATGTATATATTATATATTTAGGTAGCAATCCTTCTTTCATGCAAATTTCATTAAATACAACAGAAAAGGTGCTTTGATTAAGTTTTTTATATAATTTCTCATGTAATTTTTTTCTTTACAGCAGATAAATTATATAAAAACTGTCCAAATATTACATTTTTCCAGGCGCTTTCGGCTATACATTTATCCATTTTCAAGCAAGAAATGTATTAACTGCTAACTAGAAATAGATTGTTGTATTTATTTAAATAATGTTTCATTTTCTAAACACGGTCAACATATTGTGTCCATGTTCATAGTTGATATTATTGAGTGCTATATATATATATATATATATATATATATATATATATATATATATATATATATGCGTATTTGTATAAAGGGTACGGCAAAAGTCAAGCCTATATTTACTTATTAACATTTATTATACAAAAATAAATTACAGTTTAAAATTTCTAAGTACTGTTACATCAAAACAACAACGCTATTTACATTATTCGGGTCATTGTCCTCATCTTTGTTGCCATATTTATCACAACGTTTCGGCTGTTGTACGTTCCGGCCTTCTTCAGGTGATTGGAATGTTTAATCGACATTCCAACCACCTGAAGAAGGTTGAGCGTACAACAAA